TGAAAATTACATAAGAACTTGTTCTGTTGTTTCAGTGAAGTTGAGGAGGAATTACTTGAATTTCATGACAATGTTTTAGTGCGTTTATTTTTAACATTCATTAAAAAAATCGCAAAAAAGATAAAAACACATCTGAATTGATAAAATTGAAAAAGGAAGGATTTTAATAATAAAACTGTCAATAATTTAGCATTAAATTATACAAAAAGATCATTATTAATTAATGAATACTTCTAAGCATGAATAGAAGTCTTTTTGACACACAACTTGAATCTTTAAAAAAATGTGTTGCACCCCTGACCATAGAAATATGGATCTGAAGCACAGACAGATCCTGTAATTGATAAATCTATTTGGTTAAAATGTTCTTAGTGTCTTTATTTTCCAAAATAAAAATCAGAAAATCATATAATGATAATAGTTTTTTCATGCTTGGGAGCAAAACATCAAATGTTGCACTCCTGACATTTTTGGGTATGCACATATACTTGACTCTCATTAATGCTGCTTGTGATTTATATAACATTTTTAAGTTTTAAAATGTATATCAGTTATTATTTTACACTTCCAAAATTCTTTTTTGTCTTAATTTTCTATGAGAATTTTACAATTGATGTTTTTTGGCAACACTACATTTTTTCTGTTGCACTCCTGACATGGTATAACATTTTTTTAAACATCAGCCACGACCACAACTTGAGTAAACAAAAGTTATGACAGTCCACATTTAAAGCTCAATACTTTGAATATTATCAGGAAAGTCCTTATTTTCAACATGAAGCATTATTTCTTATTTCACAGATCTCTAAAAAATATTGAAATTTCAAAATGTCACAAAAAGGTGTTGCACTCCTGACAATTTTAGCATCATTTTTGGGCATAACTTTTTTGTTAATTGAGATATCAACGAGATATTTGGCAGGTATTTAGACACTATCTAAAGACATATGCTGAGACATAGAAATCTATTTTCATTGCATGTATTTTTAGTGTGGGTTGATAAATATGCGTTTGGTCATTTTTTTTGAATTCACCCTAATAGTGAACGTGTTCAGAGAGCTAATAGTGCACGTGTATAGAGAGCTAATAGTGCACGTGTTAAGAGAGCTAATAGTGCACGTGTACAGAGAACTAATATGTGAAACGTCAAGCTTCTTGAAACCATGAGCCGGGGTCAGACTGTGAAAAAAATTAGAGTACTCAAGGTTTTGACTTTATTTTTATAAAGAGCTCAGTAACATTATTGTTCAAATTGATTTGCAATGATAGGTTTTTGCATAGATTCAGATTTAATTTTTTTCATGTTATGTACGATTATGATGTTGAGACGTCCTCATTAAAAAGAATGGAAAACCTTTAATTACATTCTAATATCTAACTCAAGGAAGTGAAATATAGCAACATATGAAAAATATCCACTCCTAGACTCAAGAAACAGTATCATAAATTATACAGGATTCTGTCACGCCAAGCACAGGAACAGTGTATAATGACTCCTTTGTTAATCTTTTGTTTTAAGCACTTGATGCAGTGAAATAACGAGCTATTAGCACGCATTGTGAGACTTCTTGGACTGATCTACGTTATTTGTTTGTCTTTGGCTGTATGATTACAAGACTTTTGTCCTTTTTTGTCTGACAAATTCTTAGTATTCTTTCACGTATCTCAAAGTATTAGTCTTTTCTAAAGAGAAATCAGCTACTGCAATCAAAGAAAGGCAACCCTATAATGTAATAAAGCCTCTGGTAACATTGTTTTATCTCTGGTATGATTCAAACAAACTTGTCGGAACCATGTTTGACATGATTAAAAAGATAAAGCAAGAGTGTGATTGACTATTAATAACACAGTATAATGAGCCACCTTACCCCTAATGACAAACAGCAATTGAAAGTTTTTTTTGTGATCCCCAAAAGGAATAAAGTGAAATAATTTGAAAGCAGTATGTTGTTTATGTATGATTCCAAATAATTCTAATAAATAATATTCTTGAGACCTGTTTAAAACATATCTAAATTATATCTCCTCGGGTAAACACATCGAATACCAGAATTTTCAGATGATCTTTATAAATAGTTCTACAAATGTAAAGTATATGAAACTTGAAACACTTATTATATTAGTTTCAAAGTCACAGAAATTTGTATCTCAATGTTTTTTTAACGAACCAAATTTGATAAAAATCAAATCAATATTGTAGGAGGGTTAGCAGGTGAAAGATTTTCACTGTTGAACATACATATAATGTTATTCCTCCTTCAGAGCCTGTTATAGTAATAGCATTTTGAGAAATTGTTTAGAGACACGCGGTAAAATGGCAAATTACCATCGCATAAGCTCTTCTGAATTCGACCAGTAGAACTAAAAATGATTCCAAACGAGCATTTTTTTGATTCCACGATATAGCAATGTTGTTCTTTATAAGTAGTTTTTTTTTTCAACATTTTGTGCTGAGAAAAATTTGCAGAAAGCTATCTTAAATCTACTCTGTATGAGCATTCCTTCAACGGCTTTTAATTGAATTCATTGCCCCCATATTTCGCCTAGGGTTGTTTATACTACATGGATTTCCGATATGAACAATAGGTATAAGAAAAAATAAATAATTCAATTCTTTTTACGTTAACATCGTTTACATAAAATTAAGGTGCATTATGATTTATCTTCGTAAAGTGTTCATTAAATTTAGCCAATCGTCAATCGTGTTGTAAATTAGCTATAAGCAGATGCTTAGTATTGCTACATAGATTTGTATGAATGAGTATTTTAATCTGTATATTTTTGTATGAAGAAGAATATGTCTAAAAATACTTATTATAGTAAGTGCTTTTGAAACATCCAGGTATTTTTCTAGCAATGTGATTTAAAAATAATAAAGTTCTTGTTAAAAATAACTTGTAATAACGTGACATTTATGGGATTTACAGCTCCTCTTTAGGTGCATGTGTGGTTTTTTTATCGAACAAATATGTTTTTCTTTCACTCAGATTATGCTTCGTGTTTTTTAAAATTATTTTTATCCATTTATCACATACAAATATTAAATAAATTTTAAAGCAAAATTACAATAGCTTTTTTTTGCACTCACACACCCATTTATTCACCCACCTGCACTTTAATTGATATGGTTGCTTCGTAGTAATTATTTATATCAGTTGATCATCAATCGATTCTAATGATATAAAAAAAAACAATATCCTTTTCACATTGTTTTACATTGGTTCGACTTTTTTTAAATATTGGTTTTACTTTTTTGTTATACTGGTTCAATTTTTTTTGAATGTCATAAATATTTCAATTTTTTTAATATTGGTTCAATTTTTTTTTTTTAAATTTTGGGTCACCTTTTTAATATTTTGGTTCAATTTTATTATTGCATCGTTCAACTATTTTTTCTTTATTTTGGTTCAACCTTTTCCCAGAAAATCCATTGTTCTTCAAAATAAAACCGTTTTGAGTGCATTTCTCAATATTGTGTTTCATATTCAAATAGCTTAGCAAACCAGTCAAAGTATGTATTTTTGATTGTAATAAATATGAAAAGGCAAATTGTTTTGTATAGAGCATCATAAAGTTTCAATTATGTTGTAATTGGTAATTCATCTAAAATAATATTTTTGAAATTCAATCCTAGTCTTTTTGAAATGGTTCTGTATATTGTAAACTCAAGTTTCTCCAGAGATACAATGTGATCTCAACTGAAAAACACATGCAGTATAGTTTCAGATTCCTGAGTACAAAACTTACAGAAAGTGAGTATTTTTTATATTGATTTTCTTAAGATAAGAATCTACAGAGAGGATCCTATGGAGAATTCGGTATTGTAGCCACTGTACAGAAGAATCAGATTTAGTCTTAAAACAATACTTAAAAACATTTAATACATATATCTATTACTCCCTCGGAAGATAAATCTAGATTCTGTTTTGGAATTGCTGAAGGAATTGTATCATTTTTGTTTATAAAATTATAAATACTTTTTGTACTTTTTTTATGACAAAAAATATTTTCAAAATAAAAAAGTGCGTTTGTTTGATAAATAAATGTGTTTTTTCCTCAAAAACATTCTATCTACTGACATATTCTTTAAGAACTTTTAAATAGCAAACACAGTGCTATTATACTGCATTAAGCTTACAAAGGGAATATTGAGTTTTTCTTGGAAAGTAGATTTTGGTAGAAATCTGCAATGATCTGAGAAAATATTACCCATGTTTCAACCCCCTTTTTATACCAATTTTCTATAAGAATGCTTTTGTTATATACCTTTGTTAGAATTTTACCATACAGAAATAACACAAGCCTTGTATTTCATATGTACATCATGATCTACATTCTTCAAAACACGTGCCATGAAGTAAAAACATCACACCATGTTGTTCTGAGGCATTAGAATATTAGAAATTAAAGCTTCACCAAAATCCATAAAAATCCATTACCTTTTTTCTAGCCATGGCTAGAATTGGTAATTGGTAACTTTCTGTTACCAATCTTTTGACCCATGTACATTTCAGTGATTTTATGAAATTATAAACATTTACCATCTTTAATCCTCTAGATTAATAATCTTGAGTAACTATATCTCTTTTAACTCTGTCACTCTTTGATTTCATGGTAAGTTTGGTGAAAATGTTTCTGAAAGAAAATTTTACAATAAAATACAAATAAAACAGATAATAAAAAGTTAAGAAAGCCAAACCTGTGTCCCTTAACCTGTATTATAGACTTGTACAGTGATATCAGTGTAGCTATTTCTAGGTCATCGCTGCAGATCATAGGAATACTATATAGGGTCCTATGATCTGTATTGTAGACTTTTACAATGATATCAGTGTAACACTTTTTGTTGTAACCAGTCGTATATGAACTGTAAATCACGTGCTTAGCTCTTTAAAAAATACATACTAATACATGATATCTTCGTGATGTACTATTATAGTTTTATGGGTCATCATGAAGTGTTTGTCATTGTGTTCTTCTGATTCCCTGACGACGAAGAACTATACATCTTCCTCCATACATCCACTGTCGTTCATTGTTCCTGCTACATCAATACTCAGCTTCAGTGTATGCTTTCCATTTGTTATATCGTCTTCGGTACCAGATTTTCCCTGCTCTTGACTTTCAAGCACCGATTCTACTTTGTCTGTACTAGCAGGGGTATTAAGACTACATTCACTTTTCACATTACTGTGTATACAATCAATTGTATCCTTGTTTTTCATGTTATTTGATAAGGACATAAGTGAATCGTAACCCTCTGATTTATTTTTTAGTTCATCTATTTCTGTTTCATCTGCCGCTTTCTCTTCAGCTTGCGTTTTCAATAAACTTTTCATATCTTTTATATTGCTTTTAGTGACCTTGACAACGACCCCGACCGCTATCGTCTGCTTCAAATCGCGTAAAATGATTCTCCCCAATGATGGATAATCAAAGAACGTTTCTACACAGATTGGTTTGAGTAGAATCATTTCCACCAGACCAACGTTTCCGGTCGACAGGGATGTCGGGAAGTCTTCAGCTGTCATTCCTGTTCGATCATCTGTCCGTTCTATGATGTTGGTGATGGTACAAGCAGTCATAGCGGTGTGACAGTGGAGCAAAGGCGAATAACCTTTCTTAATGTTCCCTGGATGGTGCAATATGCGTATCTGTGAATGTCAAAAAGAAATATTTTTTCTGCATTGCATTATTAGCCACACGGTGTTTACGCACAATTTAAATGATCCGCGTTATGTTTTTTAAATAGTAAAACATGCAAAAACAGCATGTAAATAATGATCATTTTTCATTTTAAGCTATAGCTAGTGTAGAACAGACGTATTTTTTTGGATATCTTTAGTTTAAACTCAGAATATATGCTTGCATAATGATGAAGGACTGTATATTATGATCACATAACTCTATATTAATAAATATAATAATCCTGATAGAGCAGAAAAGAATATGATATGCAGTGATCTATGATTTTTCAAATATGTTTTGTTATGTACAGAAATGTGAAGGAAATACAAAGTTACTTTAAAGATTACGAAGTGTGTCATTAGTTATGGCAATTTTAAAATGACCAAACTTTATGAGAAGTACGTATATTCATGACAAAAATAAGAACAACATTTCATAAAGTACATGTATATGTCCTCTGCCAAGAATGGAATAATACGGAAGTTTGTCTGTCAAAAATTGTATGTGGCTAAATAGCGTTAGATCCATTGATTGTAATAAACAGCTCTAAAGATGCTACAGATTTTTTCAAAGGTCAAGATCTGGAACCTTTGTTTAGAATTAGTTACATTCAAATAAGAAGTGTATTGCTTCATTTTGTATATGTTCAACAAAAAGAGACTGAAAGCTCTTTCAAGATTTTGCGGGTAGCTAATCCTGTCTAAATCTATTTAGATCAAGAAACAATGCAAAAGCAAAGAATGGACCACAAACATGTAATTTAAATAGGTTATGGAACAAAAGTATTGGGCCAAGATGCTAAAGATTTAAACATTATATCAGTGACGTAGCATCGTTTTTGAAAGGGGGGCAACCCAAGGATAAAATGTTCAACTTACATGAAAAAACTTGACAACTTGACAAGCAAAAAAAAAGAAAAAAGGGGAAAATTGTGCAAACTCGTATATCCTATTTCGGGGGGGGGGGGGGGGCTACCAGACTTTCAATGAACATTTCCAATAGAAAAACTTATGTCTGGAAAAGGGGAGGGCAGGCTCCCCCTGATTCTACGTGCCTGTAAATGACAATCTGTTTACCTGTGCAGTGACACAGGATGAAACTGTGCCTTCAATCCAATGAATGATCACTGGAAGTTTACTGAAAGGGAGCTAAATGACTTAGCTTTGCCATTCAGTCACCTTTCAGTAAACATTGAGTCACCTTTTAGGTTATTAAATGGCACGGTTTTATCTTGAGTGATTTGTTTTGCTACGTGATTGGACGTTACTTGCCTGTGCAGTGATTTGTTTGGCTTCGCGGGGAGGGTCATCATAAAGGTTTCCACACACATACCCCCTCTTAACCTTGTTTGTAGTCAGTCCCTCAAACTGAATACCCACATTGTCTCCCGCTCGTCCCTCATTGGTTACCTCTCCAAATATCTGTATTGCACGGGCCTGAATGAATGATACAACTTAACTTAAATCGTCTTTAAAATACCTTGTAGGGAATAAAGAATGATTTTAGACAGATATTAGTTTGAGATAACATACCGAACACTTTCTGTGGGATGGCGCAAAACTGAGCTCCATTTGTGGCCTGACAGATCCAGCATGAACTCTACCAGCTGCCACAATACCTATAGCTTTAAATATTGAAGAGAAAAATAATTATGTGCACTAGGAAAACTACGCACTTTGATGATGCTCACCACTAAAAGATATAATCAACATACAATGAAAAATCTTTACAGAAAAAAATAAGGAAAGCGGTAACAAGTATGAAGTCAAACTTGGAAGAATATGCAACGTACTCCCTAACTTGTATACTGTATGTATTGGGACACGCAGTGCCTTGCTATTCATACGCGTTGGTTGTTGTGCCTTGTGTAAAGCGTCCAATAACGTCACACCGGTTACGTGATTTCCTGGCCTGCTGAGTGTCTCCCAGTTGTCGTACCACGACATATTTGTTGTTGGTGTTGTTATGTTGTCACCTTTAATGGCGGACACGGGAACAAATATGACTTTATTGGGGTTGTAGCCAACCTTTTGCGCAACACGTTGCACGAGGTGAATACATGAATTATATTCTATCTGAAAAAGAGAATTCTTATAAAAAGAGAGAGAAAAAACCAAAACCAAAAAGAGATTTCTCATTTTTGACATCTTGTCCTAAGTAAATTGTCAGACGCAATTTCCAATGAAAACAAATAAGCGTTTCAAATTACAGATATTGATTGATGTTCAAGAGAATTCATAATTATCTTCTCTGCTGACACAACACAGACGACTCTATTGTAACTTCTGTCAAGGCAGATATTTTTAAAGAAAAAATTAATCGTTAATTACGGTTTATAACAGTTCAGCGCATTGGCACAGGAAAAAAACAGGGTTAAGAAGGAGAATGCAGTCATAGTCACGTATAGAAGTGCTTTATCCTGACGTTTTACTACATGGAGCAGACAAATCAGACGACACCACGACAGATAAAATTACTGTAGATATCTGTATATATATATAGTGTTAAAATTAAATCATAAAAAGCTATCATGGTGCCAAACATGACATTTCAACATGCGTCAATGAAAGTAATCAACTTTCAGACAAAGATTCAAATAGTGATTTAGAAATTAATTACTACAGGTGTAATTGAAATACCATTTCATACATGTATCATAAACATTAGAGTTCCATATGTTAAATCCACAATAAAAAAAATACAAACATTAACTATAATCATTGACCTGTGAATAGGGTGGCGATGTTGCGTCCATTTTGTTAACAGCAACAATGAGTTTCTTGACACCCATGGAGTATGCAATGTTGAGGTATTCTCTTAGTTGTCCAGTTTTTGTGATTGAAAGCTCGAATTCTTTCTTTGGAGCAGGAACAACTAAGACAACGACATCTGACTACAAAAGACAAGGAACAACATAAATTGTAAATTATTAGTACCATAGATTTCTGAAACACAGTTCATTTAAATTCTGGAAATGTAATGGCTGTTTATTTTTACTTGTTTTGCTCTCTAGATTTTGTTATGAAAAACATGGAGATGACGAACAGTATTCAAGCTCAAAAGTCCATTAAACAATACAAATTTTGGAGCTGAGCAAACATGGACGCCTAAAACATCAGAGGTAGGATCAGGTGTCATGGAGGAAAGAGCATCATTTGCCGACCGGTCACACCTGCCGTGTGCTCCTTGTCATGATCGGGAAACAACGGGAAAATCCGTCCACAATTCAGTGTGTAAACAATGGCCTAACAATTAGTATGAAAAACGTCAGTCAGCATTTGACTTAATGATTAATTGTATTTGCTGACAAGGTCATTGTATCGACATAGAACTTACGAAATGACGACTTTAAACGAGACTGTTGATATCCTTGTTTCATCAACTTGTTTGTCAATAACTTATCTCATTTTAAAATTGTTCATACGTAAAGCATACTCTTGCGTATCGAATCAACTGAGAGATATAAACCCCGTATGCAGGGATGAAAGTATATTGCTGCATAAGTTAGGGAAGCTGACGATTGAAAAGTTAAAGTCCTCACGTTTATTATAAAGCTAAGTTGTTAGATTACCATTAACGTCCTTTTCTAGTAAAATATCAAAATATGAAACAGATGTGTCAGACTCTGTGGTATCTTTTATTCCAAGCTCACCGGGATATATCATATCGACATAATGGAAATAACAATTGTTAATAGACAATACTTCGTCGATATATCTAAATGTCGAGTTGAGGGCCACAGCAAGTGTTTTCTTCTTTTCACGTATAAGATTTTGAACAAATCCTGCTTTATATCAATACAAAAATATGTCTGCTAATAACGGGGCGCAATTGGTACCCATGGGAATTCCAATAGATTGTTGGAAGACCTGGTCTCCAAAAACCACATGGATATTGTCAATCAGAAACTCAAGCATCTTTTTAATATCGACTTCTGAGTACTTTTGTGTACAATCAGAATGTTTTTCAATAAAATAATTTTGCAAATGACCAATGACAAGGTAAGTAAATTTACGAGTTCCATTTTTATTGAAAAAGCAGCTGTCAATAATATCAAAAGCCTGGAATTTAATTTATCGTGGGGAATGGCTGTATATTAAGTCGTAAGTTTTTATGTTGTTGATTTTGGTAAAATTTTGTGACTTCAAATTTTCCAAAAGTTCTTTGGAGTTTTTAAGTATCCACATCTGATTTACACCACTTCTCAAATATACGTTGTACAGTACTCCTGAAGTTTCTCCTTCACTACTGTTAATATCTTAGTGAGGAGTAAAGAAAGAGGCTTGGTTGAACATTTACTGGAACCCGCTATTTATCTTTGTAAAGATTATTGTGAAGTTTCGAATCCAATATAGATATGAAAATTCAAATTCATGTTGATTGTTGGGAATATTAAAAATATTCAAACCTGACATATGTTTTTGAAGAATTTCCTACTTGTTTCAAAGTAGTTAGTATATAATAAATATCAAGCACAATAATCAATATATGAATGTTGAAAACCTGCAGCTGAACATTTAAGTTAGAATGCAAAACTTGGTGATGGTCTAAGTGCCCATCTAGGCACGTGGAAAAATTTGATAGTTTGATACCATTACCTGTGATATCCCAGTAATCATGTTGTGAATATAGTTCCGGTGTCCAGGACAGTCGATGACAACCATATTATAGAGTGATGTTTCCATCCGCCGACTCTTGCTATCTATAGAATGGTTTCTGTCTCTCTCTACTTTCAGTTTGTCCATTAACCAGGCAAATTTTAGTGATGGTTTCCCAGCCTATTCAAAACAACAAACATTATCGAACAGAACATGTAATAATGTACGTGTACATATATTAATTTAAAGATTTCATTGATAAAAACTGAAGCTATTCTTTTTTTCTCCAGGCTCGTACAAAGCTTTTTTTCAGTTTGGGGATACTCAGGGGACACACTATCGTAGCTAAACACAATTTCTAAGTAAAAAGAAAAATTATCGAACTCTTTTGATAAGATTGTTCACCGTATGTAGAGTACATGTCATTAAAAATGGTTAATTCTCTATAAAGTGATTGTTTGTTTCCAAGATATACTCTCCATTTGAGGTTTTGTTATTTGGTATGGCTGCAGAAAGAAAAAATGCAGCTGCACCTCCTACAGGAAAGTTTGTTGAAATCTGAATACCCTACCGAGCTAAACTACATGTAAATACAATGTTATACCAGTTTATAAGGTTGTAAGGAATTTTAGCGCGATTGGGTTCGAGGACGATTAGACAGAAATATTCGAACTTTTCAACAAAATTAGATTCTTTTTTAATCCCAAGATATCAATCCAGTTATTAGAGATTTTAGAAACAACCTTATTCTCAGATCAGACATTCCCTTTATGTTGTTTACTTTTCATCTGTTCTCTTTATTGTGGAATCAATAACTATGTTCGTGATGGACGACATTAATATGAGAGATGAGAACAGATAAAATAATTGAGACAGGCCAAAGACAAGTAGAGTCATCAATCAATACTCTCTCTCTCTCTCTCCCTTTGATTTTGAGACACTAGTTTGAATGTAAAGTTTCTCAAAAATGTAACTCAAAGCAAAATCGCAGTAATTGAAAATACAGATATATGTTGAGATATCGTCTGTCCTAGGGACATGGGCTTAAAATTTAAACTCACAATAGTGGCGTCGTTTGATGATTTTGTAAGGGTTACTTCATCAACAACGCCACAGTTGTAAAGTAACCGCCCAGTCAGTGAAGACTTTCCGGAATCCACAGGTCCAATCATAGCGAGGTTCAAAAAAGGTGTTTTATTTTCAGATCGGTTTGCGAGGGATGACGGCAACCTAGGTGACATTTCGGTGGATGCAGAGGGTGGGCGGGAAGGAAAAATGCTGTTGTCAGTTCTCACAGAGGGTGACCGTGACCGGCCGCTGGAGCAGGCCTCAAACTGTATTTCTTGGAACCCGTCAGAACTTCTTGTTTTCCTGTTTGCCTTGGCGTCGAAATTTTTAACTCTTGCTTTGTTGTTTATGGCATTGCTATTCATGCCTGTAGGTACGACGGCAGAAGACCCTGATTTCATCATTTTATCGACATCGTCCCCTGGAAAATAAACAATCATTATATTTTCATGAATAAAAGATGACTAGATTCTGCAATGAAATGCTCTGCGGGTATGGATTCAATTTTTTTGCAGTTCATTAACTTGTCAACATTGGTATCATTATATCCCTTTATAAAAATTACCACTTTATTTTCCCTCTTGGTGAATCTAGGAAATTGATAAAGAATAACATTGTATATTGGAATTGGAAACTGTGTCAAGTGATTTTACGTTTCTAGATAATAATCTGGTATTTTCACAGTTCGATTTCATTTGTGGATAAGATACTAACCCTGGGTAACTTTTTATGTGACTTTAATGTATCCCCTGGTAAAGGATATTCAGGTTTTTCTTTTTTTAAAAACAAATCTCTTCTCTAGTGAGTTTTTATGCAAAAAATATTTGTACTTGGCGTGCGAAAATCAATATTGGCATCAGGAATGATGCTAATAAGATATATTTCACGACATATGTACTTTAAGCGTATTAATCAGTCTGTATATTATTAAAGATCTACCAAACTCCACTTAATACATTGCAAGCTAGTGGTTTACTCTTCACCTTTTCATTACTCATCGATCAACTCATACTTATTCAGTGATACTTCATAAAACAGTCAACATTGATAAAATAATTGTAAGCCTGATAGTAATTCATGAAATAATTAACATCATTGCAGTTCCATTATTACCTTTTTGTACATAATTTTTTAGAACGTTTGAGGCAATGTAGATAAATTGAACAAGAGCTAAATATATATATTTTTTCTGAGAGTAAACTTACTTTCTGTTTGTTCCGCCATTTTGACTTTTTACCTGTCCACAACAAAGAGGATTAAAGACAAAGTTAAAAAGTAAAAAAAGGTGTGTGACCGTCATTAATCCGGTCAGATTACGCTACTAAATAATCTCAGGCAAGATTGTTATTATAATCCCTGATTGATAAGTCAATTGTGTGGGCTATTTAAGAAAAGGTTTCGGAAAATTAAAATAACTTTGGTTAATTCATGGTTTGACACGAATCTCAGTGTTTAAAGTTGTTTATATTTCAATGTTTATTGTATGGTGTAACCATTTAAGGTGATATCTTTTGTAGGTTTTTTGTAAATATATATAGACATTACAATTTTAATGGTTTTCATATATTTAAAGTTTAGATCTATGGATGGGAATTTAAAGGGTGCCCCGTGTTAAGGATTACACCCCCTTTGCACGCAAAATATCGCATATGGAGAAATGGTATGCAGTTTATTCATGAGATTGCTTCCACGTGATTTACTGCTCATTAATATTCATAAAACCCTGCATAAACTTGAAAGTCCATTTAATTTCTTTTAATTTTTATAATTAAACCCGCAAGTCCATTACGTTTTGGTTTTTTTCTTCAGCCTCGTCATAGTTATATGGATAGAATTTTAGAACACATGATGCCGTTTTTAATAATAAGAAGGTCAAATTGATGCAAGAAGTTTACCCTTTTCAAATTAAAAAAGCGGTCGTAACTCTTCACGAAATGATAAATCTTTCTGTATTTTATAAAGACAGACTTTCTCCTGCACCTATTTATCGGCGGAATAACTCTGTCAACTTGCAATAAACACTAACATAATCATAAATGTTAAGACACCAATATACTTTCAAATCAAAAGGCAGTCACAACCTTCACTTTGGTATCAACAATCTTGACATTTCCGGTAGTGGATGTGAAGAAAAATCAAACCAATATCGCCGATATACAAATGAGCAGAATGAACACCTTTTCTTCATATAGTTTCTCTAGTTTTTATAAAAGAGTAGGCTGATCGTTTCTCTGGTTTTCGAAAAAGAGTAGCCAGAGAAACTAAAACAATTGGTTATAAAAAATTATTTTTACGTAAGAAATATGGCTAAAATACCACCAACTGTGCGTTTAACAACAAATAATCAATCATCAATAATGGTGAAAACCTGTGTTTAACAATTTATTTGGCATTGATGTTCAAATCGAGGACAGTTAAAGAATAACTCAAGGACACTCAATAGGTTGAGGTATACTCAGTAGAAATATTGTTATTTTTAAATATACTTATTTAATTACATAGAAGCATCGATGATATCGAGAAACTTAAACGCCGCCATTTCTCATTTGCTAAGTCATCTTTAGCAATTTTTTCGAAACCATCCGTGTCAGATTACCGTCTTCCTTGGAAGACAGTATACAGAGCATTCGGACTACGTACTTCCTCTCTTTTGTGATTGATAAAAGATGAGTGAAGTAAAAATTTGTTTCATTGGTGGAAATGTTGTTCAAGACACCGAAGATGAATTTCTGGTGATATTATATTCATCTGACTTAACAATTTTCAAGACTATCAATCTTCAAAAAAATCAACAAAACGACCCCCCTCCAAAAAAATGTTGCTACCCCCCCCCCGGTTCCTACGGCCATGACTGGCCTTTATCTTCTAAAGTCAGTTAAACAACTAAATATGAAACAGATTTGGCAGACTCTGTGGTGTCTTTTATTACAAGTTCACCGGGATATATCGAGTCGACATACGAATGAAAATAACTATTGTTAATTGATAAAACATCGTCGATATATCTGAATGTCGAATTGAAGGAAAGAGCTAGTGTTTTCCTCTTCTTGTGTAGAAGATTTTAAATAAATTCTGCTTCATAGGAATATAAAAACAGGTCAGCTAATAAAGGAGCATATTTGTTGGAAAACTTGGTCTTCATTTGATGTTATAGACTTTTGAAAAGTTTGGTGATTTTAAAGTTTCTAAAAGTTCTTTCGAGTTTTTGAGGATCCATATCTGATTTTCTCGACTTCTAGAATAAGCTGTAGTACAGTATGTCTGAAGTTTCTCCTTTACAGCAATTAATATTTTTGTAAGGAGTAAAGATAAGGGTTTGGTAGAGCATTTGCTAGACCCAGCAATGTATCTTTGTGTATTGAATCAACTGGGAGACATAAACTCCGTATGCAGGTGATAATAGTATATTGCTACAGAAATAAGGGAATAAAAGAAAGGGATAGAAAAGTTGAAGTCATCAAGTTTATCATAAAGTTTTGTTTATTTCGAGTTCAACAGGTGTACATCGAATCAACGTAGGATAGAAATATAATATTATTAGTTGTGATAAAACATCGTCGATTTATCTAAATGTTGAATTGAAGGAAGAGACGTCTTCTTTTTCATGTAGAAGATTTTGAATAAATTCTGATTCATAGGTCTGCTAGTAACGGGACACAATTAGGACCAATAGAAATTCCAACAGATTGTTGGAAGACTTGAACTCCAAAAATTACATAGATATTGTCAAACAGAAACTCAAGCATCTTTTTATCATCAACTCAACTTCGAAGTACTTGTGTGTACAATTACAATGTTATTTAACAAAGTAATTCTGCAAATGACCAATGACAAAGTCAGTAAATTTACGTGTTCCATTTTTATTGAAAAAGCAGCTGTCAATGATATCAAAAAGCCTGGACTTTAATATACGTGAAGAATAGTTGTATAAAGTGAATGTGAATTTGAACTTTAAGTGACTACCTACACTATAATGTGTACTATGATATTTGTGACAAGTAAATGAAAGGCGGTCGTCTATTTGCAACTTTGTGAATGGCAGATTTTCCATCACAGTGCTTTGTAGATGATTGTCTATTATGAATCTGATATACCCTTTTTGGTTCTTAAATCCTGGTCATAATCATCAGGTGCTCAAATAAATAACCCTTGTCGACTCTTTCTCTAAGTATGTCTTATTGCTGTATGAGCTTCCGATAGTTTGTATACATAACGTATATCATGTATATACAGGGAAAGTTTCTTTTTTTATGTAGAATAACATTTATTTTTTTTTCAATGCCAAAGACTTTCTTCTAATTCCATGTTTGAATAATACTGCAAGCTGGGTTGTTTATTCACAAAGTGAACGACGCAACTGATTTAAAATTTTACCCTGTCAATTGAAGAAAGAGTCTGAGAAATGATTTATATAGTTAAAAAAAGTCAAAAACCCGTTCCAAAATACCTAAATGTACATTTGTATGTAAGTAATCAAAATGAAACCTCTTCGATTTTCGGAAATGTTCAAACACAGGATGGCACAGTGATGTGTTCTTGTCGTATGAAGTTTATCGGATTGTCTAAAATGCATCTAATGAAATCGTAAAAATTGCAACATGTCACTAATGGCATGGAAACAATCTCATTACCACGGCGCTCTGAGGGGTCATTTAATGGCACTAGCCACCGTGTGTGATGAACTGTCACAGTAAAGGATACTGGATAGAAAATATTCACCCGTTATTCCGGTGGCGGCCAGGATTGCTAATTGTTTGTCCGCAGTAACAGCAGCCGACATTGATTGCCCGTCGTCTGCCTCCTGATGATAAAAAGGACGCAGGCGGGAAAATTATTCACTGCTTAAAATTTATCATACTATATGAAATGTTCTATGTTCGTTGGGAATGTGTAACCAATACGAAATATAACTCGATATGATTAATATAAAATGGCAGAGAAAGGACAGAAAGATTGAAGGAATTAAGCGCTTATTGCCCAAAGCCATACAAGTTTCAGGGATCATTGTCAATCGATGGCTGTCAATTTGCTAGTTTATTTGATTTTAACACTTTTTGAATGTCGTGGAAATTGCTGTTTGCGCACGCATTAAGCATATCTGACACGAAAAGAAAGGGGGAATCTAAACTTTTTTTACTTTTGGGTGTGAAAAAAGAATAAGCCTCATCATTTAGGTAAGTATTTTTTAATCAATTCATCTAAATCAAATCAATTCATTGGAAGTTTAAAATGTTGAATTCAACGTCATTTCTTTAGAAATTTTAATTTTTTTTTTCATAAATACGTATTTATTATGACAATAAGTATTTGTGAACAATGTATTGGTGTGTTATATGTCTAAAAAAAACTGCTGGTTTTTAAGAAGTGATTCAAATGAAAATCGTGTGGCTCTTAATTTGTTGAAAAAATGTCTATATTGAGACACAAAATGAGTAATCTTTATTGTTTGACCGACTGAGTACATTCTATACATTAAACAATAATGGCACAGTTACAGTATTTAACTCTGTAACAGCAAAAGTCTGCTGATTTTCAATTGTTTTAATCATATGTCATCTCATTAGAAGAAGGTTTGGTTCCACGTACATGTCATTATCATGTTTTATTTCAATTTGGTCTAATACTTTGGAAAACATCTCATCTAAAATTTCGGATATAAAGTATTTCTTTTGTTGAAAAAAAAATATGAAGAAAATTAAAAGTAGATATTTAATTATTAATGCAATGAAGAAAGGAAAATATATAACATAGTTATACGGAAGTTGTACAATGGTTAGATTATTAAGAAACATATAAATTCTGTCTGAATCAGTTAACGCTATGCCTTTACATCTTTTTTTTTTTCGTCATCTTTATAAACTAAATTATAGTTGATGAATTCTATAAGCTAATTAAATCATTGTCTGTTATTATGAAGGATAAACTACTGAGATAAATTATTTAAGTCGGAGTTCTATGGAGTCTGCCTTGACTTGTCCGCCGTTTATTTTGTTTCCTATGGATTATTTCTGTATTAATCATTTACACTAAATGTATTTAACTGCCAGTAGAACATTAATGGGACCCTATGGAATAATTTGATGATATTGAGAGATACAAGCAAAACTAAATGTCGATGCCTCACTGTCATAAATTCCGGATTTTTCCCGTAAATATAAACTCTGCTATCTGTTTGTGTTCTTTGTGCTTCAAAAAAAAAAAAGGGTTACTTTGAGGCACTGTGTAATAAGGAGCTTTTTAGCATTTTTATGGTTTGTTTGACCGAGAGGTTTTATAGAAGATGTCATTTTTCATCAATCATAAAAAGATTAAACGTCAAAGATTCTGTGGAAAAAAGCCCTACATAGTTTAGAGAGCACCGGATATATTATGTATCCAAAAGCAATGACTTCATTGATCCGAGTAACGGACCAAAATGGATTTAGTGACAACTGTTAAAATAGCCATTTTCTTTTTGTCTCCGGGGACAAACAATTTCTAGCGTTTCAGTTAAACAGGACATTCGCCAGAGAATACAGAATTCTGAATAAATTTATCTTTAGACATACTTGGCAAACTTAAAATTGAGTGTTTCAACAAGACAGGGGATATAACGCTAAACGTTCAAACTAGTTTCTTGATGTCCTCAATCCAGTTCTATTTAAGTAGAAACAGAGTATTTCATGAACAAATAGCTAGGAACAATTTTATTCTTATTATTAGCTTCTAAGCAAAGGTTTACGAGGGGTGATCAAAAGGTTCGAGAACTAAATGAATAACTTCCATAAAAGTAATCAAACTGGGTTTCAGTGTTTATTATTTCTAAAGTAGGCCCCTCCAGTTTTAATGCACATATGCCACCGTTCTGTCTATGCTTGAATCGCGTGGTCCAGGCGGTTACTCGACATAAGATAGGATGTTTATTTAGTACTCAAAGTGCCATTGCCTACTGTACATTTAGGCATCATATTCATCATAAACATTTTATATACATAATGCAATGCATAAGCATAAAAATTGAAAACAGGAACAATACTGTATTGCTTTACCATAGTATATCATAGATCATAGTGATATCATTTCTTGTCTCATAGACAATACAGCAGTGCGTTTGAGAACATTTTTTTGTCTTTGCTATTAAAAAGCTGATCAATACAAATTGATACAACCTCTCTTAAGGATGGACAATATTGAAACAAAAAATTCCTTCTCATGTCACCCAACATTGGACTTGTTAACTTGATCAGTATTGGGCGAGGGTTCTGTGTATTCTGACCTGATTTTCCGAGTCTGTATGCCTGGCAACCTTGATATTGGGTAGCTGTTATTCCAGGAGTGAGTAAACTTTCTAATACGTCTCTTGTGGTTTAGTGCCTCCATCTTCTATTCCATGAAAAATGACGTTGCACTGTCTTTTCTGGTCTTGATTTGCTTTTATTTTATTTTCAAGATGTAACACCCTGTCTTCTAAAGCTTTATTTTGCTTCTAGTTTATCATTAATATAGCAAATGTCTCCTCTTAAATCTTAACCTAATTCTCCGATAGCTTTCAGAACGTCCGAATATCCTCGGTTTTCAAACGTCAACCTTCTTTGGGTTTGTCTAGTGAGTTGTCGATTTTCGTCCTCATTCAAGGGTCCTGGTTCAATTCGATATCTCCGCACTGTTGTAGAACTTTAAGCACAACTATGGCGACCACCAATACACAGCGAGTCTTACTCAGAACATTTTTCAACAAGGCAGACGAAGACTTGCACTCTGTTGACTTTCGGGGTTTAGCGTGTATCCGCATACTTCGAAACAGAAAAAGGCCTATTTGGAGCCTCCAAAGTCCAATTGCAATCATGGTTAATTTAATTACTGCACTATGTATTTTTTAACAGACTTTAGCCTAATTTTTCTGTCGGTGTTAAGGCTCAAAAAATTTTCCCACCTTTCTTCGTTGAACACCGAGCTCCGTTCCTGTTCACAGAAGCCCAAAGATTTTCCCGGGTCTTATTTTTCTTACCATACAAGTTAATATTTATAACAAGTATAGTCAATTTGTCACAAATTGTCAAGTTTCGGCAAGAGGATGTATGGATTAGGATATCTTTTCCCAGTATGAGAATGGTGTCCATCACAATCCGGCTCCTATGTCTTGGCTGCGTCGTGTAACCAATGTGAGTCAAGTATAGGCGCTTACTCTTTACCATATCTCATCTGTTAACAGTCTAACAAACTGAAATTTTAGGGGATTAATTATTTTTTTATTATTAAGATATTTAACTATTTTCTTTTTGATACTTGGCTATCCTTTACTATAAGTTGCTCAACTAACGACACATCTCTCTCCCAACTTAATTTCACAGGGCACCCAGAACAAACATTAGTTTTAGTCATCTCTCCTCCTTCAATAAAACAATCTATCCGATTACTAATCGAACTTTTGGCAAGTCCTTTGTCTTTATAAACCTTGTACAAATTTTTATATATAATTATTACTGCAAAGGAAATTCCAAGATTTACGTTAAACTTTACAGCTGTTCCTTGCTCGAGTTCGACCGAGTCATCCATTTTTTGTCACAAGTCATCTACAAACTGACGTCATTTTGACAGTGTGACGTCATAAACATGAAACAAAAGTTTCCGTTACACATGCTATTTTATAGATCATGTTTATGACTTTACGTATCCTCGGATATTCATGAGTTGTTACCCTAATTTGATCGTGACTGTTTGTAAATAAAATTGAAAAGCTGCTTCATTTCGTAAACCATACCTTGATTAAACATGTTCTTTTCTCTCAATCTTTGCAGTAAACGTGATCAAATAAATACATCGACCTTTATTGAATGTTTTCATCTTCAATTATTTAAGTTACCGATGTCTTCTAGGTGCCACTTCGAAAAGCAGGTCCTAAGGTCGTGACGTCAGCGGAAATTGAAGTAAAAAGGCCAAGAGAATGAATATATGCGTTTTTCATTTTTTCAACTCAGAGTTTAACTTTGTGTTGACATTTTTAAAAGACAAATTATTAAATTCTTTACAATGAATTAAATTTTTTTCAGTTAAACAATTAAAAATTTTAACAAAGCTGAATTTTACTGTCAAATTCAATAAAGCAACAGTAGTAACATTACTATAAAAATGCGTTACTGTGCATTACAATGTGGATATTCCTTCGTACAACACGCACTGGAATACAATAAATCAAGTGAATCAAATGGCTACACTTGTCACATTGAGTCTACTTCACAAATACAAGGGAATTGCATCTCTTCAACTCATCTGGCTGGAACGTCTTGCAAAGGCAGCAAAGTTTAGACCGATGCATCTCAACATCACTGTCATGTACAGTGTAATGTCTTAAGTGTTTTGGAGTCAGATTCATTGTTGATGGGCCAGGTATTGTCATGAAGAAGTGCAATTTTCTTTAAACTTGTCCTCTGACGCTTCTTATTCACTATGCCTTTCTTTTTTTTCCCCAGACTATTTACATGATCTTTCATTAGCTGACATATATTTTGTGATATTTCTCTCCCTGAAACAATCCTGCTCATTGTTTTCCTCTCTTTCATTTCCTCACCACTCTTTTTTTACCTTCAGATGCTTCTCTTTCTGTTGTAACTTTACCACATAATTTTGCTGATCTACATTTTCTTCAATTCTTTGCTCAAATCCTCTTTCACTCTCTTGGCTTTCATTTCTAATTTCAGTGGCCAGGCACCGTCACGGTGGCTCAGTCGATGGAGAGCTCGCTCCGTGATTGGAAGATCGTGTGTTCGAATCACGGCCGCGACTGACCTAAGTCGATAAAAAAAATTGGTAGCAACTATTCCTTCGCCAAGTGCTCGACATTTTGAAGTGAGAGTTGGAGGTCTTTCGGATGAGACCTTTAAAAAACCAAGGTCCCATGTCACGGTGGGCGTTGGCACGATAAAGAACCCTCACTGCTCAATGGCCTTGAGTGCCGAATAAAGGTCAAAATTTGAAGTTATTCACCGGTATATGTTGGTGTCTATATATGAGTGAAAATTCTCGAACGGGACGTAAAACAACACAAAATCAATCAATCAGTGGCCAGGCAATTGAAAGGAACTACGTCTTTGCAAAGGGGGTAAATGCCAGTGCGACGAAATCCGGACTGGATGTTTTCGGGAGACATTGCCTTTATATGCCTTGTCAAGCAACTTTACAAATGCTCTACCTGGTA